TACTTAATGGATTAAACTGACTGCAGATGCTTCACGGAACAGCTAAAACTGTGGCAGGAGGGCTTAAATCACCTTCTGATACTCACCCAGCCTACAGTTCTTTCCTTCACATATCAGATGCTACTCACCATGTAACCATCTGTAGGTTCAGTTCATCATTTGCCTATATCTAGAATTTGCATAGCAATAACTTGGAATTTAATTCATACTTACTATTACTCTATTCTCTTGAGACTAGATAAAATGCTAAATTTGAGAAAGTAATGTTTCTTTGTCTACTCAATAAAGAACAACAGTTCTTTCCTACAATAAAGATTACAGAAGCAGTGTCCAACAACAACAAATGTATTCACTAATATCCTTTGTTAAAAGCTAGTAAGATTGTTTTAAAAAAAGAATTACTTGGAGACTATTTTTTGGCATCACTAGCAGGTTGCAGTTTCCCACCATATGTTTCTTTTTCTTTTTTTTTTTAATATATCATTTTGAATTATTGTATACTTGATTATGCGATGATTCACTTGCATACTCATTTCCATCGAAAATGCACAGTTCCCTAAAATTATTTTGAACCATTTTATAAACTGTGAATTTAGTGTGTCAAGTTAGTGCATCAGACAGTTCCAGGGCCAACCTCGGGTAATTAAAAGAAGAGTACTTAATTTAAAATTCTTGCAGTTTATAGAACAATGAAGTGCAAATTGGAAGAACCAGATAGAGGACAAAGCACAAATCAAGTTACAGCTCAGCTCAGAACAACTATTTGATAGAACAAACAACAGCTCATGTTTTTCATGCACTGGCAACATCTACAGGAGCTGTGACTCATTCAGTGGGTTTTATGTGCAGCCTCAGAACAACTTTTAGAGCTTTCCCTCAGGTTATTACTGTGTGGTGATTTAAAAACTGAATTTTGTTTAGAAGCTTTGTCAAAAGTCACTCCTGAAAGAAAAAAACAGAAGTGTGATACAGTCTGAACGTTCACTAAGGTGGGCAGGATCATCAGGTAGTCTCTACATGCATTCATGGGGCACTACTAGAGTGCCGTGTCAAAAGTCTATCTTTTTCTTTGGAAATGTTTCAAGCGATGCAGTAGCTGAAGCCACTGCCTCTTGACGCTTGCTGTTTATCACATTCCCTTTCGTTTACTGCTTTCAAAAGTAAGATAGGAAAAGATGGATGTGTAATAGGAAGATTATTTACAACAATTCTATTTGTTTCAGTCTTCTCTGTTTTCACAGGACCACCAAAGCAGATGAAAATGTTATAGGGTAGTTGATGAATTAAGAAGATGGGTTGATTATGGAAGGATTTCTTTTACAACTTGTTTCACAAAGTAAAAATGCCAGAGAGCCAGTGTTTAAAGCTGCTAATTAGGACTCAATTTGTTTACTTTTAGCCCGGTTTTCTAAGGAAACAAGGTTTCTGTACAGAGCAAAAAATGGCAACAATCATAAGTTGCAACAACAGAGATTCCAACTGGATATATGGAAAAAAAATTCACCATGAGCATAGTTAAGCGCTGGAACAGGTTGTGCAGAGGTGCTCTGGAATGTTCATCCTTGGAGACATTCAGAATTTGGCTGGACAAGCCCTGAGCAACGTGATCTAACTTGGAAGTTAGTCCTACTCTGAGCAAGAGATTGGATTAGAGACGTCCAGAGGTCCCATCTAACTAACCTACGTTAATCTACAATTCTGTGTGATCACACTGACTGTCACCTAGTCACTTGTGAAGCCATATGCCAGTCTCAGACGAAACTGACTTACAGATAAGAAAATACAGATACTGAATTACTAGAATTGAACTATTAGAATTTGCTTACATGACACATAGCTCTTGGGAGTTTTTTTTTCTTCCCTTTCCAGGTTCCTAAAGAGCGGATTTTTTTGGGTTCTTGATAGCCACTTAGCTAAACTCCAAGTCAGTCATGGTCAAATGTTCATCATCAGCTGATGGTCAAATAACAGTAGGTAGAGGATTTTGGAAAGGATGAGTGTGTTGTTGGAGTGAGCCTGTACTTCAGTCATGGTATGCAAAGCTTTTGGAAAATTCAGGGCTTTGTAAATTCTGCGGGCAGAACTATTTGCTTCTTTGTAAAGTACGTAACTACCTAAAGCAAATGTCTGGAAGTCATAATTACTAGAAAATGCTTTTAAGTGTTTTGCCTATATGTCTTAAAGAAGAGAACACAATACGCATTCAAACACCATCAGATTCATTTTGAAGCCAGAACTCCACTAACAACAGTACTTTTAAATACCTATGAGATGGAAAAATATTGTGGGTAAAAGATGAGATGAGATCTCATCTAAAGTATGAAATATAAAGTAAATATAGTGTATCTCCCTGTCTTTTGCAGTCACATAAACGGGGACATTGTGTACTTAATAGATTATTTTGGTGTAGGTTACACATTTATCAGATGCTGGGGTTTTTTTTTACACTTCTCCTCTCCCATGTTATTATTAGTATTACTGATGGTGATGATGTACTACTGTTTCAATAATATCCAGTCCAAAAGATTTAGATATGCTTAGTCAGGCTCCTTTAAGTCATGACATCTGGATAAAGAAGCAATTTTAAATTTAAGTTTCTGAGTTTGTGTCCGTATTTCTAAATTACTAAACTACATTCATTATCTTTCTCAGTTTTCCTCCAAATGCATGAAGGCAAAAATACCGGAGTTTTCCAGTGAAAGGAGATTCTGAATTCTCATATCACACTTACTAAAAAAAGTGTACTTATTATGCTATTATTTTAAGCCACTTCACTGAAATTTGAATGTGAAATTTCTGGCACCAACATCTGCTCTGCAACTGACATCTGCTATTCAGCTGACACCTGCTTCTTAATCCTTGTTTATTTTTGGCCATTTTTTGGTAAACATTAAGTCTCTATTACATGTATTAGAAAACAGAGAGGGATAAATTCCATGCCACATAATCATAGTTTCTTCTGCATTCTTACATATAGACAGCCTAGAAATACTGTTTATCTTCTTAATATTTAGTTCTCTCTCACACTTGAATAGAGTAATTACAGCTTTCTACGAGCATGATCCTAGGAGAGACTAAAGGCCCAGATTCAGAGACATAAACGTCTAAAGTGAAATTTTGTTAGGATTTAGATGACTAACTCCAAAATTGCAACCCTTAAAGCTTTCTGCCAAAAATCTGCATTGCTCTTGGACTTTACTTCATGGGCTCTTCAGGTTTTTTGCGTTAATGTTCCTTAGGTGCCTAAAATTCTACTGCTGTACAAACCTGGAAGTACCTGAGTCTTAACAGAGCTGAAAAGTTGGTACCTTTCTTCTGCTGTCAGCACCTACAGAATAGGAACTCCTCCATCTGTCTTTCCTAGGGACCTGGATTTGGTTGGGGTTCTTATGATATGCTTCCTAAACTGGGCTCTGTACAAAATTCATCGGTAGCTGCTTCTTTTTCTTAAAAGATGGTTAGAAAGAAACAGGACTACATCCTGTATCATTTTCTTCCAACTTCCCCATCCTCTTCATATAACAGTGACCAGAACACTAAGCTAAGATATGGGAAGCTGGAGGGTTGGGGAGGATTCTCCTCCTCAAAAAATGCTAAAATTATCAGGACCCAGCCTTCTCTTTTAAAATGCTCTGGGTTGCTAGAAAAAAAATACAATTCATTAATCCAGACAGACAAGGTCGATTCCTTAAAAAGTCAGGATAAACCTTTACTTTATAAAATGCACGCAGGGTTTAAGCATACTAGAAAATTAAATAGTGCCTGGGAATGTCCCTGGGCAAATGACACAGAATAGCTCACATTCATGCTAACAAACTCTCCTATGCTTCCAAGCAGGTTCGCCGCAGGCAAACTGCTCTTTGGGAACGTCACTTGGAACATGCTAACTCTCAAAACAGGCCCGGAAATTGTCTGGGAGGTGCCTAAATGCCCACAACTGTCCTCACAACATAATGGTGCAGGTTGACCATCTTCTGGAACTTTTAAGGCACTGCTCAATTTCCCAGTGTATATGTGGTCATATAGCATCTGAAATGGAACTGAAACCGAGAACACCTACTTTCCAGTGTGATCGCCATCTCTGGCTTTCCCTCTCTCAACTTCCCACCTAAGGTTGATGATTAAGCACCTCTGCCATCTTAAACTATTATTGAGAAAAAAAAAAGTTACTGAAGCAAGGCAACGTAAACTCACCATCTGGATGCTCTTAGCCTGACGCAAATACATGGCGTTTTAAACACCAAATTAGATATTTTAAATGAAGATATTTGAATTTACTTTTAGTAGGTTAAGAACAGACCAAGGCTGGTACCCCAGCTCACATGAGGTGCACTAACTCATCACGTTAACATAACCAGTCACAACCACTCAAAAGCTTTTCCGAGTATAAGTGCCATTGGCTATCAAAGGGATCATGTTTCCCTGGGAACACATTATTTAACAAAATTAAGCCAAAATTCTTAAGTCTGCTTGGCAGTTCTGCAAAAGTTGCTCAGTGTCATATGTCAAATTAATATGCTCTGTTCCTTACAATTTGTTTATTTTTAGAGAATAAAATATTCCTCTAGTTATTCCTGTTAGTTGGACATACTGGGATCTCCACCAACACAGATTATTTATTTTGATGTTAATGTGTACGTGTGACTGAAAATTATGTTTGTGTATCTGAATTCCCATCACAGGAAACAAGTATTATAAGGTTATTAAAAGCTTTACTTTCTCTATATATTGAATCTTTTTTAACATAAAATTACTTAGCCACCAAATCACCAATAATTATTCTCTTCACTCAACCACTTTATGGAAGAAAAGAAAGGTATACTTTACATTAAAGATCCAGTGTAATTTCTGTCATTACTTTTTTTCAAGCACAGGACCTGTGGTAAGCATGCAGCTCAGAAGAAATCAATACGCAATAAAATTGTGGAATTTAAGCTCTTTAGAAATCACTCGCTGCTACTTCCAGTCAGGGCGAATATTAGATTTTAACTGGTACATACCCACAGGCTCTCCTTGTTGTGATGGTAATTCCAGGTCATCAGAAATAGACACTTCTTCAACAAGAAATTTTGACAACTGTGTCCCAAGATACGTAACCTGTACAAACAAATCTAAATGGATAACTCATCATTTTAGTTATTTGTGGGTTTTGTAGTAAGCGGAAAAATTTCACTTATCTTTCAAAATCGGGTTTATGCACTTAACAGCCTAATCTATGTCTGTCAAGATAAAGTGAAAATTCTGGTAATTTGAATTCTGAATGAAAAAATATAACATATCTGGGAAGTCCTCTACACTCTGCCAATACTTTTGCAACATTTGTCCCTGGCACCTTGACGTTTTGATAAGTTTGCTACTTTGTATTCTCTTAACAACTTTTCATTTTTTCTGCCAGTCTCTTAATCATTTTTAAAACTATTCCTTAAAAGCACCAACAACTCACAGAGTGGCCATTCCACATTCTCTCAACACTTTTGGGTAGTTTATCATTATACAGCTACATATTTTGGGGGGGGGGGGGGGTCTGCTCATTCATTAACAGTAATTTTTTTTTCTTAATTTGGGCTTGTACGTTCTTTAAGAACTATAAAGGAGATTCAAAAGGGTCAAAATATTTCCTGAATGTTTTTACCTTATAAATTATACATTTGTTAATTTATTCTTCCAATTTGTTATTACTATTTTTAGGAGTAAAAATTAGGCCTACCTTATTCCACACATACTTCCAGGTCACTGAAATATCACTTCCTAGTAGTTCTTTAACCCACTGAACTGGATTCTGAAGTATTCTGCTGTTATTGGTTTTGATCTTGCCATCCTCCAAGAGCGTGGCTTTGTGACTAAATTCCTAACAAAGAAAAATTACGAAATAACATTTCAACTTATAAATTAACAAATCTGAATTAATATCCTTAAAGCATGAAAAAACAAAACACCTGAAGGACCATATTACTGAAAAGCTGCACCTAATTCTATATTTTGCTGAAGAATTTTTAAAGAATCCAATGCCACTAAGCTATGATATATAAAATATGATGATTTATTCCACAATGAGATGTTTTGGTCACAAGATACCACTGCCAGAGGACAAATCCCCCTATGTGTGAGATAAAATTCCTCTTAATAGCAAGTGCTTATGAAAACACTACTTGCATCTGAATTCCTCTTAGACATAAGGGAGCTATGAATATGAGTAACTTGCAACGATGAACTCAGGAACTCACAGGGGGCAAGTCTGTCCACCAAGAAACTGTTATTCACAACCAATCTGCCTTACACATGTGTGGAACAAATGAATGCTAGAGTGATATCCTGACAGTGATTCAAAGAAGAAACATGTATTTTGCACAGAAACTGCATTTCACTGATGTCAAGAGACATTAAAATCAGAGCTCCCAAATCAGTATTTGCATCAACTATTAAGTGTAATCACTGAAGATTTTTAAGAGGAACCTGACAGCCTGAAATTATGCACAATTAATTAGAAAAGAATTTATTGTTATTCTCTTTTTTGTTAAGCAAAGCCCAGTTCTGCAAACTTATATGCACCTCAGCAAGCATGGCTTATAGCTGCTCACTGTTCAGTGAATTATGGTTTTGTTATACTGGGCTCAGTTAGGCTAACATGGCTAAGTAATGTTAAAATGAGTTGCTGATAAACTGTGTGATAACTTAAAAAGGTTGCTTAGTATATACAAGGTTAAACAATTAGAATAAGAGAATGATCCATTAGAAATAATTGAATGGCTTCTTACCACATCCAATGGCTTAGCTCTGTTTCTATAAGAATCTAAACCAAGATCTTTAACTCAAACATTGTGATGAACACTAAACCCAGTTCACAGTTTCACATTTTGAGTCTATAATGTTCAAAAACTGCATCTCGTCTGCTGAAAGCTAACTTTAGGTAAGGACTATGCACTAACTGTATCTTCTTATCAAGTAGATATCCATAACCATATAGGAGGAAGCTTTACTGATCTCCTCTTTGAAATGCAAGGAAGGTAGCAAAGTGCTACCTTCCAATACAAAAAATGAGTGCCATTTTCAGTCTAATACAGAGATTAACTTTTCTATGCCCAGTATATCAACATTTATATAGTGAGTTATAAGTCCCTAAGACCCACATCCATCAAGCTGGTATCACAGATAACAGTCTTGAGAGATGATACTAAGCATATTGAATTCTTCATCCCTCAATTTAGTCATCCTGGCATTTGGAAGAATATTACATGCCCTTTAAGGAAAAGAAGAATGCATATATATCTATGATATGACCCAGTGTAGAGCAGCTGGCAACCTACCCACAACATCTTATGTTACAGAACATAAGAACACATAAAATTGCTAATCTCAGCAGAAAAGCATTCTTGAGCAGATTATAGGTGCAGAAAAGGGAGCCTTTTCTACATTAACTACACCTGGTGAGTTAGCTGAAGAGAACCTTCCATGTTTTAATCAATATGTTGCCCTGGAAATTAACTAGCTCACAGCTGGGAATTCAGTCAATAACAACCCTCAATAATTCCATCACTTGCTAAGCACTAAGTCAGTTCCTGGCAGCTGCCATGTAAATCTGCTCTGTATTTGGAGATGCAGGGACATGTTTCTATATTAAGTTTTTTTTTTTTTTAGTAGGTTTAGTGCATTCCAGTATATAAACTATAGAATCAGTTGGCATGTAAACAAGTAATTTTGCATTTATTCATGCCTATCGTGGCACAATGAAATCCTTGATGTTCCGTTTCTTGATCTGAGGGACTTGATAATGCCTTCCAAGAATCACATTTAGTTATAAAAACCTTAACGTCCCTCCTCCTTCCAATTTTAAAATCAGTTAGTACATGATGTAGACCAACCACTCTACTCTGTTTTTAGTAATAACAAATGTTAACAATCTGATAATGCGAAGTTAAACACAAATTTTACATATGCAGTATTCTGGATGTTAAAATCATAGTCTGACAGATGATGTCATCCATTGTAGCATTTTCCCTTAAAACTCATAAAATATTATCTGCAAATAATAAATAAAATTCAATATTAGGTGCTGAAGATACAGGCTGAACTATGAGAACTGCTGTTTCCCCATTTTAGTAGTCTATTTTTTCATTATTTATAAAAAGTAACATTATTATATCTTGCCAATTACCTGAAGTTTGAATTCTAAAACATTTTCTCCTGGCTTAATCCTTCCCAATTCAAGTAGATCTATCAATTGAAGTTTTTTCCTATTATTTCGTCTGTACTTCAATTGTTTTTGTTCATATTGCTGTTTACTACAGCTCTGGGAGGAAGATTTCTGGTTGAGGTTTATTGGATAATCTCTATTTGAGACAAGACTTGTAATCACTGAGTTGGCATTAAATGATTCAACGCTACTCTGAAAGATCATTTGCTGCAGAGTATTAGGCAAGTTCTCTGTGGATGCTGACGCAGTCACTTGCTGCTGCTGCTGCTGCTGGAGGAAAGCTTCTTTCTTATTTACATAACTGTGCAGGTCCTCAACAGTAAGAACCCGCTCACAGTCACTGGTTGGCTGACAGACATTGTTACTGATGACAGCGCTTTGGGCTTCTGAAATATTTAATGTCTTGGTCACTGAAGTGGGGTATAGAGAGCTGTCTCCTTGTTTTGCAATTGCTACACAATCAATGCATTTTTGCTGTGGGCATTTTGTTTCAGTAGTGAAAACATTAGGTTCTGAAGGCAATGTCACTACTTCTACAGCATTTGTCAACTTTGACATATTATGGAAAGGATATTCTCTCACCCTGGTTTCAGATGCCAAAGCATGATCAGAAACCCCTTTGCTTCTAATTGCTTCTTTATTTGCTCCTGTCTCAGCCAAGCAGCTGTTTGGATGTTGGCTGCATTCCTGAGCTGAAAATCTATTTTCTAAAGAGAGATGTGCTTCTACTCCGTTTCCATTAGGCATGCTGGCACCAGGCCCTCTACTAAATGTAACTACATCAGGACACGTGATTTTATCAGCAGTTAAATCTTGTCCTTTACCATTTCCATAGCAAATAGCTGCGTTTGAGATCTGTTTCTTTGAATGTGTTGAATATACTTGCTTTTCTTTTCTGTAATTTTGTATTTTCTGGACTAATTCCTTCTGGTTCTGGGCAACAATCAACAAACTCTTTTGCCTAGAAGCAAGCTTAACTAATTGTTCCCTCAGTGCTCCTTTTTTAAAAGATTCCACTGAAGCCCTATAGGAAATAGAAAAGTAAAAATAAAGACACCACAACTATTCTGAACACACACACAAAACAGCTTAATAGATGTAATCCACAAAGAACAGGAATGTGTTTCAAGGTACTTTGCCAGCCTCCAAAATTTGAACAACCTTTTCATCATGTATAAAGTTCATCATTGAAATCTCAGGCTTTATGCATGACAAACTGCAGAATCCTGTCTAGAAGTAGGCTGCAAAGCAAAGCATCAAACTACAGTAATAGCCTCTTAATTCAAAGAATTGAAGCTGGGTCTATATTATCACTAGCTGGTCTCTTATCACCACAGAACACATTAGTTCATTGAATTCAGTGCCTTTGCAGTACTAATTTGGACTCTTTTACAAGAAGCTCAGGATGAGCTACTAATGGATGATACTATCAGAAGTTTTGTACTGTATTCACACCATGAAACATTTTGTTCCTTTGCGATTAGGAGTCAGAGTGGTTTAGGACATTGTATGTTAGTTAGGGAATCTCTCTCCCCTCATCAGACTCTGCTCCCTAGTTTAGCTGAACTCCCTGTGAGATTCATTCCCCAAGGGTCTTCCTCATGTTGGAAGGGAATTCTGTATTTTTCTCCACTTCTTTTGGCACAAGATCCACGAGTCTAGCATAATGCCCTTTTCTCCTAATCCCATTTCCTGGGACAATTGATTGCACCACTGGTCTGGCACCTTGCCAGAGACAGAGGAGTACCACAAGGTATAGGAAAAAAGGATAGCAGGGCGGCTTGCTCTTGACTCCACCCATAGCAGAGATGCTATGCAGGTAACACTATCCCAGTCTGGGAAAAGAGAGACTGTTGAGGGGATCAGAAGTACAGTAAGACCAGCTGGTGCAGAACAAGGCTAAGTGGGGCTAAATCACAGTGTGGCAGTATTGGTGTCCAATGCAGTACTGTAATACTATTTGCTCTCACATGTATTCATAAACCATGATACTATGAGCATATCAGCATCAGGTTCATCTCTTATATGAGTAAGCCCTGGCCAGTATGGAACCCCACCAAAGGCAGTGAGACTCTTGCCTACTTTCTCTAGCAGTGTTTCTTTGGGGAAGTTTTGTTACTTTATTGCTATACAGGTACAGAAGAAGTTGCAAAGCTTCCTGAGGTTAGCACAGCTGAAGAGAAAGTAAGAGGCAAAGACAGTGATGACTGGAATGACATAGGCAAAGTAACTTACAGCCACTAACAAATATAATGCTTTTTTTGGGCTCATTTTTCTTAAAGGGGAGACACATTTTAATATCATCAAAGGAACAAATAAAAATAGAGAACTTTCACTAGTAGGATCTTTCACTAGGCCAACTATCTGAACAACAGAAGAATGGAAAACATGTTCATGACTCCTCATCTTCTGCACATTCATGTATCACGTGACAAAAGGTTATCTGCTAATTAGTTAAAAATAAAATGTTTGCCATATAAATAATAAAAAGGAACTATAATGTAATTTGGCATGTAGCTCATTACATTTGATGGACAGCTGTTGCATTAGCTGAAGGGCATCTGCATTACTTCAGAAACATTTATCACTCTGCTCTGGAACAGTTTTACTCAATATTAGAAGGCAGATACATTTTTATAAATGCTAAATTAATTATGCTGTCCTTGTTTCTTTACTTAGTCACTAGCTTGTTCACAAGGATGATTTGGAATCCTAACTCCTCTGCATATAAAACCTCTTTTTTTCTTGTTATCTGTGTAATCTATGTATCTTATGTCTTACAGCTGGGAAAATGCTCTGTGATAGAAGCGTTTCAGTCTTTTTTGCTCAGATAGGCTATATGGTTTGCTATAGAATGACTTGAAAGTTGCAAAATGTAGCTGTTACTTGACTAAACTAATACTGCTCACATGAGCTACATATAGGCACTCTTATGAGATGGCCTAGCAGCATGTGAACGTTATGCCACGTTATTAGTTGTGCACTCACCACATGGCCAGTCTTCAGGTAATCCCTCTCAGAGGAAAGCAAATGAATTTCCTCAATCAAGAGGCCTTTTAAGATACAGCAGCAGGAAGCTGACAATTCACGTAGTCCATGTCTTCTCCCAGCCCACATCTGAGGTGTGCTCATGAAATAGAACCATTCTGAGCACGCTGCAAGCCTTTGTTCTGAATTGCACTTGAGAGTTGTTGATTGATCACTCCCAATTTAGGACTGCTAAAGAAACAGCACTGGAGATAGGGAAAGTCAGTGTAGTGTCTGAGTTGCTGCTGCTTTCCTCCATGATGCTGCAAAAAGTCATCTAATTGCTCAGCATCTCCATCCCCTAACTTCTGCTACAGGGTTTTTTTTTCACCTTTCATCTGTATTCACTACCTAAAAGTAGTACTCACCATGTGTACAGTAAATGATTAACATGAGTTAGCTAAACCCTGAAGTTCTTCCTTGATGTGAACTCTCATTGGACGTAATTTAGGCTAATATGAACCATGCTCCAGCAAAATCTGAATGAAAAGTACATGGTTTTTCTTTCATGTTACCATATAACCTTTCACTAATAACCTCTGTAAGTGCTGCTTTAAAAAAACAGATTTCTATAAATACAAACCTTGTATTCTACTTACCTGTATTTTTTAGCAAGGGCATCCCTTTCTGTTTTCTGTTTTGCAAGCATTTCATTCAAAGTATCTTGTATCTGAGACAGCTTTTGGATATATGCATCTGTCCAACATTTTGACATAACCAAAATGATGATGGCAATAAGAAGTAGAGAATAATTATAATAACATTTTTGATGCAGTAAATACAAAAAATGGAAATACTGTTATCGCATTAGCTGATACTCTCATGCATGTTAAAAGCTATTTACAAGTAAATACTTTAAATGAAACTCTTCACTGGAAGAACGAAATATAAATTTACATTAAAGATAAAAAGCCCAAGTACTAGAAAATGTTGACGGGTAATAGCCTCATCTAGGAAGTTATTAAGAGAACAGGACAGATTAAAGCACTGTCCTATGGCTGATAAGCACTGAAACCTTTCTGAAAGTCTTTGTGTTGCAAGGAACTGCACAACATGGCAATTATATGGGAGCCTACCTGCAGAGGTTGCAGAGTCTTAAGAAGGTGGCTAGAATATTTATGTTTGAAGAATTATAAAATAGTTTGATGAGCTTAGACTGTTCCAAGTTAAACATGTGCTAAAAATATATGTATCATAGTTTTACATAGTTTCAATTACATTCTATAAAATGAAAATGGGTTATATATTGCCCTTTGTTGTTAGCTGTATTTTTCTGAAATAAGAAGAGCAATTAAAATTCTTCTTCAGATGACCTCTTTTCTTAGACATAAAATGTAACAGAAAGCTCAGCAGTCATGACCAGGGGATACCACTGGGATAACATGCTAAATACCTATAATCTAATTCCTGAAATTCCAAAACAAGAAATAAAAGATTTCTATTATTGTGGAAAATGGGAAATTAAAGAATGAAATATGAGATTTATAAGAACGTTTCCAGAAAGCTGTTTCATAATACCTGCCGACATTTAATTATTTATTAAAATAGAAAAATACTAAAATATTGCTGTTGTTAAAGCAGCTTAATAGAGAAAGGCTCTATTATTCAGAGCAGATTGTATTGCATGTAAACACCTTGAGGATTTTATTCTATATTTTAAGATTGTCAATATTCTTCTATGATCTTGTTCAGTCTCATCAGCCTCCTCACAAGCAAGCACTATGGTTTAATTTGAGAGGTGCCAGATTATGAATGTTTTTGTCAGTAGTGGTTACGGATCACCATGTTCATTTCTCTCATGCTCCGAAACAGGAAAAGTCTGATACTTCTTATTTTCCTGATTTAGGGAACTGCATAGATCAGTTTCAGCCTTATCACGCACAAATGCTTCAGCTTTACCATGCATACAGGCCTCAGCCTAGTATACCATCTATCTGTTCGTCAAACATTTCTCAAGCAAATTTAACGATGTTAATTAGCAGTTCTTACTGCATAGATTTGACTTGGAAGCTATACAGCTCTATAATTCCGTATTTCACATTTATTTTAAAAGGGATAAATTGACTATTTTTAATATAACCTGAGTAATTTGAAAGCTCCAAGCTATTGTCAGCTGGGAGCTACAGCAGATTCCACAAACACAGTCACAGGTCTGGGCTCCAAGTAGTAGAAATTAACCTAGAAGTAGACTCAGGGTTGGGGGGAACTAAAGAACTTCCTGTCTGTCAGGGAGCAAAACTTTCATGGGCCAGAATTGCTCCAAAGCACAAAGCCATGGCTAGACGGCAAAGGCAGCCAGGGAGAGAGATTTTTATAAAAGGCCTTCCTTTCTGCAACACGCTCTGCCACTTGAATGGTCATGGCATAGATACAATAGACTTGAGCTGCTATGCAGCACCAGCATCACGATCTCCTAGGAAGTCAGTGTGACTTAGTAGGCTCTTGAGACCAATCTGAACTGCGATTTGATAGCTTAAGACAAATGACACCTCAAGGCACCAGCATTTCTGAAACTGCCCATCATCTACAATGTCTGTCTGAAAATTTTTCTTTTTTTCTTCAGAAATTATTTTAGGCCCCTGAAAATACAGCCACAGTAGAATGAAAAATGCTGCATCCACTATTATACCCACAGACATAGCTGGTCTTGGCCATGGAGGGGCTCCAACAGAATCTCATGTACTCGTCACTAAGGAGTGTTGCCAACAGTATGCATTCTTATTTAATGATCCCTTTTTATATGAGTAGGTTGATTTGAAACATGTAATACATTCATGCCTTCTCTTTTTTGTTATCATATCCATTCCCGTGTAAACTGGAAGTACTCCTATACACATATCTGGGAAGTATTATTAAAATCTTATTCTCAAGCTGTATTTTCCAGAATGAGATGTTGAAATACGTTACTTGTAGTACTATTTTTAAAACAATGCTATCAGATATTTACAAAAATTACTGACACAGCTTTAATTTACTTCTACCTGCATCTTTGGAAGTTCTCAGTTCAAGTAGGAACAGTTCTTTTTGCTTCTGTTCTGTATCTTGTATGGCAGCGACAGACTCATGCTAACAAATACAGAAATAATTGTAAGAGGTAGAGACAAGTGTACCATACAATACACAGGCCATGATGCATGGCTCACAGGATAAATCTTGGTAGACTCAAGCCATTCCACGCAGGAGAACAGCTACTGTGCGACGGCAATGGGGGCATGGTATGACATTTATACAGAGTGCCAAGGGTATGTTCTGCAAGGGGCTGTCACAGCCAGGTTTTACCCAGGCATTTGAACTAGTCCACTCTTAGAGCCCCACCTTTGAGTGCAATGCAAGGATTAAACAGTGAATTTCACCACGATAATATCACCTGGACAGTGTAGACATAACCTGGAGTTATCAGCAAGAGCTCTCCTAATGTGCAGACTGTGCAAAAATCTTTGGGTGTATTTCAAACAAAGATTAAACTATGTCTAAATACTTTCATTATCATGAAGAAAAATCATTACACTTCCAAAGAGCCATTTTGAAAATGTGATGAAAAATTTCAGGATTTCTGACCTTCTTCCATGCACATGAGCAATAAAAAATGTATGTAAGTGTTGCCTACAATAAGTGCAAATGTGTAGGAATCATAAACGGAAAGAAGTGGTAATATACAAACTTATCATATACTGTAAGCCACCGTTTACTCAGCATGATGCTGTTCTCTGACTCTGAAGGGTTAATTATTTTAATGATATTTTAATATTATTCAGTCAGTAAATGACATTATATAGTACTACACTATGAAGCAGTATTACAAAGCTCTTCTATTTTCTCTACTTACCACATTGTATTTCTCATGTTGTGGCACCAAAGCTGCATCATCATTTTTACAGCAGTCATAACAAATAAGTTTTGACCTTCTTGACCTAGTAGGATGACTATATTTCCTCTCTCCACAATCAAGAAAGAATAAATATAATTTTAAAACAAATTGCAGCAGCATAGCAGATTAGATTAGCTAATATAGGTTGCAAAGACGCAATGGCAGATTACAGTATGAGAAAATATCTTGTATATGCAAATGAAATCAAATTTAAGTAGCCTAGGGAAGTAGTCTTTAAAGCTACTAATACTATTTTCAAAAAAAAAAGGTTCATGTGAAGGGTAATATAGAAGATAAAGAAAATCTAAGGAGCCAAATATGTCCTTTCTCCTCAGACTCTCTAGGGGAAAAAATCACATATCCTATTTTCTGACTACAAATAAGTAATAATCAAGAGTTAATAGATTTAAAAATATAAGGGTCAGGCAAGATGCAACTCTGCAAATCAGCAGCATTCTAAATTCATTTTTTTCCTTGAGATTACAGTTTAAACTGATGATTTGCATTATGGAACCAACATACCTGTAATCCCAGTAGTTTTAACAGGAAGTCCAGAGTCAATAGCACCATAAGACTTAAGCAGTTCTTTCATTTCATGGTCACAAGCTTTATCCAAAGCAGTTTCACCAGAATCATCCCTCTCATGGGGATTTGCTCCATGCTGTAGTAGAATTCTCACTACCTGTTATATATTGTTTGTATGGTAATTATTCATGCTGTGTACATGTAAGACAACTATGTGTACTGTATTTATCATAAGATACAAATAATAAAGATTCAAATAAGATATCCTAAAACCTGTTATATTTACACTCACAATTCAAAAAACAGGTTTAATTGGCTTTTTACATCACAGATTTGCATTTTACACTTTTAATTTTTCCTTTAAAATACATAATAATTCACAACTTGTTACACTTACCGTCTTTAAAGTATTGTTATAGAGAGCGGTTACAAAACATCGAAGATGTAATTTAAAAGAAACTGGCAAACTGCATTATGAACAAAGTGCAGAAGATAAGTGGAATTTTTCTCTAGGCAGTTAATTTTTCTCTAGGCATTTAGTAGCAGTTCTGTTTTTCAGCTACGTGCACTGATGATTTTTGTCCCAATGCTAAATCACTTGTATACCTCTGCTTAATTTTAAAATGTACAAATAAGATTAGTGGTGTCAGTAGAATGATCTATCCCTTAAAATTCAGCTCCTTTGAAAGTGTCAGCAGGGCCAGAGCTTGGATATTAAAGAATTTTCTTATGTATGATTTCCCATCTTTAGCTTTTCTACTTCTTTCTTACATTTGTATTTTGGATTTGAGATGTGTATTCAGAGTTTTGGTAAGCACCAGAAAGAAAAATGCTTTATAGAAATTCAAAATCTCTTGTGCTGTCTTTAGAGTAGTGAAGTAATCAGTCATAACCTTCTCCTCTGGTTTCCGAAAAAAAAATACTGACTAACTTAAACATTTTCAAGAACCCTGCCGACAGCTAGGTACCAGGCCTGTGAAATCATCCCCTTCATTTTACCTTTCCTCCCTGAAAAGGTAACTGTGATGAAAAAACAGTTCTTTTGATAGGAATAGAAGTGGTAAGTTTTAGTCAATCTGGCATCTTCTTTTTACGCTTAGTTCCCTGGAACTTGCTGTGCCAAAACAACATTTTTTAATTTGCTCATTCAAATAAAAGGCAGACATTTGGCTGAGCTCAAGGAGTATGTTTATGTTATCAGTTAAGCATGGATCCAAAGCGGCTCCTATGACTAAGTTTTCTCAACCCCCAAGCCCACGTTAAGAGGAAGCCCCAGCCTGTATTTGGGAGGTCTCCAGGGTGGGGGAACCCAAGTGCATGGAGGTCACAGCTCCACAGCCACCTACACTGGTCTACGTTGGGGTTGCCACAATCCTACGCCTCTGTCATGGGCCACACAGTCCTACTCCCTCCCTTACACTAGCATGGTTCTTAAACCGGTTTAGGGGGCTGATCTAGATAAAACCTTGTTTTTGTAGGATTCATTTTCATTTAACTCAGTTCCGTGAACTAGCTTTATGTGTGATCATAGAAAAGCTCACGCCAATGCAAAGAATAAGCTAAACTCATGCGTCCATGGGACAGAAGGTAGGACTGCAGCATCTGGAACGGATGGCCTTAAACTGCCACGGAACCACAGCATAGCTGTCTACAACAGCTATGCTGTCTACAACAGCAACACTCATGCCCTTATTTTGGGGTCTGGATGGACTAGGCACAGACATACGAAGTACTCAACAGTCAAGCCTATCACCACATTCTGAACATTGTTCTTCCCTCAGTACAGTATAGATTATTTAGGTCTGATTTAAGCTGGCCAATTTCCAAGAGCACAGACAAAAATCATGCTAGTGACAGCTTAAATTTACTCTCCAGCCTGCTCATAGGCTTTCTCACCTTGCAGTGTTGACTAGGCATATAAGTGACCACCCAGTTACCGTTTATAGTCATGTTTTCACATACTGTCTCTAATTTTTCTACATAATATTGGTGTGCTAACTTACATAGTCTATTGTTTTCTACCTTTGAACGCTTTCAGACTGAGGTGTAGGATGAGTTGACCCTACCTTTCCACAGGAAACATGTTGCTATGAGTCCAGGGATGCCCTAGCCGAACTGCTCGGTGTCATGGCCCAGATATACTATAAAGAACCACAAGATTTCCTTGAAGAGATAAATCACCCATGAGTTGCCCTGATGACGGTCATGCCTTTCTGATTCCAGCTCTCTGCTCCCTTTCTGACTGCTTTCTCCTGCATAAACACTCTACCTTAATACAGGGAGCTTTCTGAGGGCATATAGATATCGCCCCATTTTAAATACAGGAAAAATGTATCAGATACAGTGTTTATTTACAGCAACGATTTTCACTCATTCCTTTGCTAATATAATTTTGTTACATTCTCACTGAACTGAAGGAGGGAAACAATCCAGACAAACTAAATACAGCTGCAAGACACCAAGTAAGGCTTCCCTGTGTAGGATTACGTTTTTATTGGAACTGTTCCCAGAAATATTTTTTGACAGCTGGCCCTTTTAAAAGCAACCGGCTGTAACATGGCCACTGGCAGGTGGCTGTTGTTTCATGCATGCAATGGTAAGCAATCTTAAAATGTATCCTTTGCTTTGATTATTGAAAAGCCATCACAATTTCTCCCCCATGCTTAAAATAAAAATTATGTTGAGACAGATTTCCTTAATAGTAAACTGAAGTATTTTCAAACAGGAATGCAGAAAACATTTATGTTTCAGAATAATTTAACACAAGGGAAAAATTATGACCGAATGCATTTTTTGAATACTAGGTCTGATAATTTCTTTGCTCATTGCATTACTTCCCTCATTTCAGTGGCACTACTCTTGATTTTTTGTAGTGTAAAGAAAAAAACTGCTGTTTAAAAATCAATTGTTTTTTCATGAACTAGTAAAGATGTGCCTCTTTTTCTGGTCCACAAAAAGTCTCTGCTCTCTTAGGGCAGTATTTTGTCTTCTGATACATGTATTCAACTCCCATATGTTTCAAAAGGGGATGCATTAATAAGAGCTTAATGAAATTCTTCTGATTAATAGTCGATTTTCCAAAATATTCAGGTGTGGATGTTACCAAATTATTCATTAATTGTTGGTCAAATCTGACACATGCTTGTCCGAAAGGATTAATTTTGGAAAAAAAGTCTAATGCTTTTCTTTAAAATTAAATATTCTCATTTTCTTTTTAAAATTAAGTTTTGTGACGTTAATTAGGTTTGCTTTAATTTCTTTTAAAGGGAAAATATCTATATCAAAACATTTTTTCATAACTCAAATGAAGAATACTGAGGATTTTGGTATTATTTTCAAAAAGACAAAAGTGCATATGAGAGTACCATGGGGAATTTCTTTTTCTTTTTTTTTTGATTTGCCTGATTGATCGACTGAAAAAGTCAACCAACTGGTGAAGAATAATTCTTCATCTAATTTTGACTACTTAAACAAATGTTGGTTTACTTTCTAAGTGCAAATCTACAATATAATTGTATTGTAACTTTGACTTCCCTTATTTAAACGAAGATTTTGCTTTGCTTGCCCATGCCTGAAAATCAGGCCCAGGAAAACTAATGTAAAAGAACTGTACCTCCAAATAATTGCCAGAAACAGCATCATGTATTGGCAAAGTACCATCCAGACTTCTACTGTTAATATTAGCACCAGCTTTCAGCAACTCTAAGATCACTTCAGTAAATCCCCTGTTGGAAGCTTCATGAATTGCTGTCCAGCCTAATAAAAGCAAGATGACATGTACAGCATGCATCTGATTTGAAAAAATCCATATAGATCACTAATGAGCAATTATGTATTTTACTGTATTTGACGTACAACAAATGTCAGGCTACTCTTTTTAATCTTTTTAGATCTCAAACAAAGAAATCCTAAAACATTGAGGTAAATTATTTTGTTTAATTCAGCTTACTTTAGAGAAAAATGTATCCAATATTAACCCAAAAAATACCATTTGCTTTTCTGCTACACTACTAAAAAAAAAAAAATCTTAAAATAATAGAGTAGAAAGACTATACAAGCTCAGAAGCATAATATTAATAATCTGATTTCTAATCCCAGTGAGATTTTATGACATCAAGTCTGCCAGGGATCCAGAATGGAATACTACCCATTCTTAGGGAGAAAGAAGGAAAAAAATAATCTTGTCATTTGATTTTGAGACTCATTTCCTAAAGAAATAAGATCTGTGTGATTGTGCTTCACACACATGAATATATTGAGGTGCATAAGCCCTCTTCACTTTCAAATCCACCAGTCAATTTCCACCAAACTTCAGAGAGGCCAGAGGTCTCACAGATACCCGCTCTTCAGCAGAGGAGCGCAGCTTCATTAATGTCTCCGCTGAGGGAAAGGCTGCATTCACTCTGTCCTGAGACATATATCCAGGGAAACCGGTATTTACTCGTTGTGCTTGTGCTCATTAAATTACTTCCTCCCCTCCTCTCCCTCCCCCATCTGAAAAGTTTGGATCCAATCCTAAATTTATGTATGTAGATACACTTTTTCTTACCAATAATTCCACACAACAGGTGGGAAAAAAATCAATTTCCAGCAGTCATAAAGACTTATATGACTGTCCACAGGTTATAACACACCCCATAACTATATAGGTTTCATGTAAATACTATATGTGAGGAACATGTGTGCGCACATATGTCTTTATGAGCACCCGTATCTGTCTCTAAAATCATCCTTGCTGTGCTGATCGATATAATGTGTGCCCAAAAATTCACGTGATTTTAAAATGTGTTATAAAATTATTTGAAATTGAAGAATTTTTAAAGAAACAATCTAGGTTTCTTATTCAATAAATATGTAATAATAATGAAGAGAAGCTATCTTCTAAAGCATTCTGGTTGCATTGTTTCAAGAATCACCACAATTATATCACAAATCAAGAGTTCATAATTATATAAAAATTATATAAATTATATAAAACCTTACAAAGTATAAAATAATAAATTATATAAAATTATATAAAAATTATATCATGAAACGAGTCCATAAGGGAGCAATAGTCAAACCTGCATTATCCTTTTCATTGACACAAATTCCAGACGATATTAGAGTTTTCACCAAAGACAAATCTCCTCTCTTAGCAGCAATATGCAGCTGATTTTCCCCTTTCGCATTTCTCTTCTTTGTCCAAGCTCTTGTATTATAGGCGACATGTAAAATTACAGCTTCTTTTTTGGATGATTCTAAACATATTGGATTCTCATTAGGAACAATAAAAACTATTTCATTATAAACAAGGAATTAACCTTCATAACTCATTTGAATTAATGTAAATCTGTGCAATACCTTTGCCTTACTTATTCATTAATATTAATGGACTACATCAAAAGGTTAAACAGGTACGACATAACAGATCAGATCACACATAGACTCTTTGCCAAAGAATTTACAGTTCGGATCTAAGTGACTTAGGGTCACTTAAGGTACAATGGACTAGGGATCCACAGAATAGCCAACAACATTGAGCAGATTTACACTATATGAGGGTAGGAAACATGTCATATTTCTTCATGGACCCTTTTTAAAGTTACCAGGCATGCCTGATAGATATACAAAGCATACAGATAAAGGTTATTTAAGAAACCAGGAATGAAGACTTGACTGTCACCTCTTTCTCATGCCTGATCCTGCATTAGGGAAAAGCTATGCTTCTATGCAAGGTATTTTTACAGCTGTGGCATGACAAAGCCCTGCAGATTGAACACAAATCTTTGACAAATGTGGACTGACATAGCTCAAGTGCCCTTTAATTTAAACCTGTGCAGGATTATACTCATGATTCTAAATGAAATTGATCTAACCCTTCTCTTATAGGTTCACCAAAACAGAAAATATCTGCCTGAAATTTATTTTATCATACGATCCTCAAACAGGTCCTAACCCTCAGGGTTCAAGTAATAGACATACAAAATTGTGAAAGATATAAAGAAGAGAACAGATTAAAAAAGCATGGTCACTCACTGATTCTGTGTATACAGTGAGGACAGGCCCTCATTTCCCCTCTAAAAAAAAAATATGCTACCAAAGAGACAGTGTGCATAAACCTCAAAAAGCTCTGCCATGCATGTTAGCTTTTTTTTGCCCTTGTTCCTGCTTCTTTAACAGTCTGCAATCAGATTAAAAAAAAAAAAAGGTTCTTTCTCCGATTTCTTGAAAAGCTGTAATTTCTCCAAAAAAGGGAATTGTGAAGTTTTACATAGCATTTTGCAACTCTTAGCCATGCTTTTCAATCACTCATATGAACAATTAGTTGTTGCATCCCAAACTTTTCTTCTTCTCATCAGATATCTTCTCAAATATTTCAAGTTATCAAGCATCATCTTTCAGACATCTCCCCTGATTTGACAGTTGACTTTTTTTAGGTTACTCCTGCCTCTTCCAAGGCTTCCTTTAAAGTAAACTACTGCGCCTGTCATCCAGGATTGTTTGGAAACATATTAAAGACACACTGCAACCATGTCAAAGATAGACATATAGTGAGGATATATTCATACTAATTTCAAATTAGCTTGCTCGGGTACTGCTGTAGTCAGAGCACGGCAGCACGTTGCTCAGAGTAGATTATTTTAATCTGCCAGTAAGCATTCAGGCATGGTTGCATGGTTGCACTTGGCCCACGTTCTAGTGGCAACCATAAGAGCTCAAGATTGTCTTTTTAAAATGAAAACTGAGATTCTAGAGCACACAGAGAGGTCACATTATTGAACATACTCCTCCAATTTCAGACCTACTTTTCTGTAAGATAACGTACTGTATTTTGTCTAAAAGCTTCTGGGTCTGAACTCCCAAAGCAATCATTTGCTTTCTGGTTCTCACTTTTTGTCCCCTCTGATTCATGGGAGAAGGTCCTAGGGACTCTTTAGAGAGGTAGGAGAAAAAAAAAAGGCGCAAAACAGCCCATTAAGCTAATGACCCTTGGCAATATTGGCTGAAAGTGAACAGAAATAATTGCAAACTTTTACAGTTAAGTTGTGATGCACAACACTTTTCTTCTTGTTTGCTAAGAAGCATTTGCAAAACAATAAGAGGATGTTGTTACGTAAATCATAAAGCACTGGTTCTCCCTGGAGTGCGTTGCCAGGTGGGTCACGAGCACACAAGACTAGGAACTCGGCAAATACAAAATCCTGTGAGTGCACACACAAAGTGGAGAGATTACTGTAGCCAGCAGTTAGACCAGATTAAGACTGCCATATTTCAGCAACTTCAAGGGTATCCTCCTTTGAACATACACTTGAATACTTTGCCACTGGTTGATGAGTAATTCTTTCCACAGCTCAAACTGTGAGAAAAGAACCAAGCTGTCGGTACCTTTCTTCTATATGAGTAGAATAGGAATATACAGAGCCTGACTGTAGGCAGGTGAACATGACACTGCATATGCGATCACTTAGGAAGAAAAGACTTTTATTCAAGAGTAGAATGATGTAAGGAAGACCACTGGGACATGCGGACAATCAGATAAAATACAAAAGACAGTTAATGAAGAAGAGGAATGAGACAGCAAATACAATAGGAAGCTCCACAAGCCCAGAAACATCATCCTGTCTTCCATTTTTTTCTGCTCCAAGTTGAATGCTACCGTCCCAGTCCTCAAAGCTATATACCTGAAGAATCTCTCTTGTGGAAAAAAAAGCCATCTGTGAAATGGTATTCCAGAGGAGACCACAATGCAAGATCCATGTTTAGGATACAGTTTTTTTTTTTTTAAATTATAACTGCATTCATAGTAGATCAAAAAAAAGGAAAACAAATCCACTTATAAAATACATATGGATACATGAAATTAATATAGATACATCACAGATTTGTAAATAAATACAGATGTCAAGA